ATGCTGCTTCAGAGTTCCTTTTCTCGGTCCTTAATTGTTACACATCCTTTTGTCTAATATCTTTGAGTTTACCCAGTGTTGAACCCTCTCTGAGCCCTCCCATTTATCTTCATCCCATTTAAGAGACTTTCTCCATCACATGCTCAGAGGTGGGGCACTGGCATTCCTTGCCTGTCTCCACCCCTCCTGTAGCTCCGACAACTGAATCTCGCTCCTGTGTTGCTTCCTAGCAACTGTCCTCTGGAGAAGGGGCCTCTACATTTGACAGACTAAGCTCTTGGTGCATGCTCTGAGCAGACCCTGAACCTGCTTCCCATTCTCCCATTGGCAGTCTGGAGCTCTCGTCATTTTCCATCCCCAGTTCTCCTTGTTGGGCTATCTTTTCTCACAGGATGGTTGGTCACTACCCCCACCCAGTGGGGGCAACAATGCTTGAACTGCAGACATTCTCTGACCTTGATCTGATACTATCATTTGCTGACATTCCAGAACTGCTTCATTTTCACTGTCTGAACTCCAGTTTCCATCAAATCTATCAACAGCCCTTCTGGCTGCTTTTCCCTGTGCGTGCGCACAACAAAACTAATGGGCAAGGGAAGACCGGAACACAGCATACCTGTTAGTTGTCTGAGTTGTGTTCCCCTAACTGGCCAATCCTCCTCCCAGCACCATATCTCCCTTTACCCAGCACTATGCTAATTGAGGCCCCCCCACCATCTCCCCACTTGGCCCCATAGACACCTTCTCAGCCATGGCCCCAGACATAAGCCCCCAAAGGCAGGAGGTTGTGAGGGACAACCGAAGAGGCACCTTTACCCTTGTGGCAACTCTGGGTGCCATGTGCCATCTCTCCCCTTTGGGGATGTCCTTGCTAGGATGTGGCCTGCCAGTGGTGGCCTGCCATCCAACAGTAGGCCTGCTTTTATGCTGGGGTTGGCTGCTGGAATTGTCAGGCCAGTTGCTGGCTCTCAGCCCTGATGGACTGTGCTGGGGCCATGAGGAAAGCTGGAAGGTGGGGGTGGGGAGGGGGGCAGGGGTTGCAGCACCAGATCTTAAAGTAACACTCAGCAGTCCTGTTTCGCAGTGGTTCCCAAGCCTTCTCATGAGTTCTAGTCCCGGGGTGCAGAGTGCCTCTGATAATCCTCTGATAAAATTACAGAAATGTTAAGTACCTTTGATTTAAAAAAAAAAGAGGTTCTGAATCTAGATCTCATTAAAGCTTGTTGCTAGAATGTAATGTGTTAAATCTTACCAGCCTTCAGAATTTCTTTTTTCTTTTTGTGTGTGTTTTAAAGAAACCTCAAAGGAATGCTGAAAAGAGGTTTGTGTGTACCCTACATGTGCACATGCACGCATGTACTTTGGAGGTTTTGCCTGAATTGTTTTCGTGTTTACTTTACAGTGGCCTTATGTACTCTGCATTAATTCTCCCAGTGTTATATAATATGAGACCTAAATGTTGTGCAGGTTCTTGCCTTGGGCATCATGGGCAATGTATTTTACATGCCATGCTGCTTCTCCAGCCATTTGTGGTTTGTGAAGGGTGATACAGAGTTAATGCAGCTGCATGAAGGCAACAGCAGGGCTCATCAGCTGACTTGGCACAAGGAGATAAGTAGTGGTCCTGTGGGTGCACAATACTCAAGTATAATCCTCTTGAATTCAGAAATTCCTTAAGGAATAGGCTGAGTTTAAAAAAAAAATAAAATAAAAAAACAACAATTAATAGATCTTTAATTTGTTTTTTCTGTGTGCTAACTTCTACTGTTTCTCTACCTTTATTTTCTAGCATTCTCTTTCTTGGCATGGGAATGCATTTAGCTTTGTTATAATTTATATGCTGTTTTGTCTTGCTTGCTTTCAGTTTCTGGCATTCCTAAACCATATAATTCAATATGTATATTGTAGTATTTTGCACACTTTGCATGTTCAACGATAGGTATAATAATCATCTATCAAGCTATGCTGTGCTATGCTATCTTTGGGCGTTTTAGTATTTAAAGATGGCAGAAGCTAGAGGGACAAAACACTGATCTAAGATGGTAAACTTGTGGTTGACTACATCTCTTCTATTGTAACTTTTCTAGAGGGCAGGTTTAGCTATTGAATGAAAAACTAGATAGATGTTTTACCACTAACTGGTAGATCTGGTACCATTGCATCACCAATATATAGGTACAACATGGTTTGGGTGGTATAATTAGCATATAACCATTGAATTTATGTCTTCCATGTCCTGCTATAAAATAGGACACACGTATTAAATTATCACGCAAGACCTGTGTGATAAGTAAGATATCTATAAGTAATTAAGTGTTTCTATGTCCTAGGTTTTAGAACAGCATCATGGCTCACTCAAAGACAAGAGCCAATGATGGAAAAATTACATATCCCCCAGGAGTTAAAGAAATATCTGATAAAATTTCTAAAGAAGAGATGGTTCGGCGATTAAAAGTGAGTGGCCATATATTTATTTGTTTATATATTTCGAAAGTCATTTTGAGCAACAGTGTGTTTTTGTTTATCCTACTTGCTGTCTACACATAAAATAGCATTTTGAGATGAGGGTTGCAGGTGGGTATGGATTGTTGAAGATTTCAGTTGTGTCACACTGTGCTGCCAAGGCTATGTCCATGAATGTAATTTGCCAACTGAACTTTTTTTTGTTGCATGCTGAAAAGATACCATCAAGAATTGTGGTTAGTTTGCTGCAAAAATGGGCAAAGTGTTTTTTATGACTTAGCTTTGTGGACTTTTTGAAAAGTCCTGGGCCTTCCTCCCCTACTTAAGTTTGTGACAGTAATAAGATTCCCGCCCCCCAAAAGAAGAAAAAGAAAGGGGGGAAAACCCAATAAGCCCCCCCCCCAAATCTAGGCATATATGATTTTTCAATATGTTTAAGGTGGGATGGAAGAAGAGATAGAATAGTAGTATGTTCAATCAAGCAAGTTCAATGTGAGCAAATCTCAGTATTTGTTGTGTTTATCCCATTAGCAAATCTTAATCTGAAAACTCTTGGAGGGCTTATGTACCTTGTTGATAGATCTATAAATGCGAATGTTTAACTGAATATTGGAACTGTTCGGAAATAAGCATAGATTTTTAGGGAAGTGATGGATAATTTAAATAATAGGGTATTTCTTAAAACATTTGAATTTTATAAAGCATCTGAATGATTGGTTGTTTGGGTAGCTATTTACAGAATGATCTTGTTTTAAACATTATGGAATGATTGACCTTAACATGGAAATGCAGATTGTGTTAGTGGAAAACCTGGGGAGAGCCATCTCTTTACAATAGCAGATGCTCTCTTCAAAGTAAGACTTGGATAGAATGGCCCATCTCCTTTAAATAAGGAATACTTAAATTAACTAACTGAACGCATTTGTCATCTTAACAGTACTGGTGAAATAATATAGTGTTATCTGAGAAAATTAGGTAATTTGGCTAATAGTTAACAGTTTTTTTGAAAATATCATGTGCTGATAATGCACTCAGCTCTTATAAGTGCAGGTTGTGATATAACCGGAACAGTGCTGTCCAGTCACACAAAAAGTAGTGGCAGGCTTAGAGGGAACTGGTTTGCTGACGGCAGGAAAATAAACCCTAAGTGGGAGAATAACTCCAAAAGAAAACAGCCTAATGAGGACTGGTCATTCTCACTGAACATTGAATACTGGAATGGAAAACTGCTGGGAGGTTCAAAAACAGGAGCGTGTTATATAACATCATTGCCAATTCCACTTGTTCTCACCATAGTACAAGTCCAATGAAATCTACTTTTTGGACAGTTGCAAATGAGGGTATAAAGGATTTATCTTATTTAAATGAACTGGTGGTTCTTGGTTATATCCTTTTACAGAAAAGCTGTTGTGAATTGCTTAGCTTTTTATAGGTAAAGTTTAAAGTATTATTGTGAAATTCATGAAACTCTAACATATTTCATGGCATAAATTCTGATGTAAACCGACCAGAAACACTGTTGTCTTGGTGAAGTACATCAAAGTAAAATGGAAGGGTAATGCCAGTAATGTGTATCCTATTTATTCGAAAAAATATATGCCACTTTATCTGTTAAAGAGTTTTAGGAACCTCCACAAGATGCCTGTCTTATATTCTCAGTACAGAGAAGAAAATCCACTATCCAATTGGTACTGTGTTAGATTCCCATATGTAGTTAGCTAAATCATCAGTTGAGGTTAGTATTGCTAGACTTGTAGGGTTTAATGTAATTATAATCTCTTGATTAGACTTGACTGAAAATTACTCGTGTGAATAACATGGTTGCTGGTGTGATGTGTAGCATTTTTTTTTTGGTACAATATATACAGTCAAATTGTGTTGCTGGTGAATTATAGCATTTTTGATGCTTTTTATAAGATATTGGTTGCCTTGTAACTATAAAAAAATGTGTGAGACATTTAAAGCAAAAAGCTGCTCAGAAAAGTTAATAATTGGTTGTTTTCTTCTAAAACAAACAAAAAAACCCCCTGTGGTTTCTAAATGACATAATGAATCCACCATATAACTGAATATATTTTTGTATTTTGTATTTTGAATTGAGATGAAGACCAGTGTTGGTTTTCTTCAGTAAAAACTGTGGTCTTGTGGCACCTTAAAAATAAACAAGCATAATATTCTTCAGATGCAGATTTATTTTGACTATACATTCTTGAGGACAGAAATTATTTTTGTTGGACATTCCAAGTTTAGTTGCAGTTGGCAAAAATATAGTACAAATATTAATTGATCTATAGCTGAAGATATCATACAAACATGAATGTATGAGCTTTTTAATGAGAACTGACTTTTCCTTTTTTTACTTCAGGAAAATAATAAATATGCACTGATAATTTAAAAGAGAAAACAGATTTCTTTCTGATTACTATGCACTGTCTTATCTAGAGAATGTTGTTTAACTTGGAACTTTATTTTGTCAGATGGTTGTAAAAACCTTCATGGATATGGACCAGGATTCTGAAGAAGAAAAGGAGCTATATCTAAACCTTGCTTTACATCTTGCTTCTGATTTTTTTCTTAAGCATCCTGATAAAGATGTACGCTTACTCGTAGCATGTTGTCTTGCTGATATCTTTAGAATATATGCTCCTGAAGCACCATACACTTCACCAGATAAACTTAAGGTAAGACTATGTGACTTTCTTGAATCTGGCTGAGTAATAATACTATTTTATGTTTACTTCTAAAGAACTAGAAACAAAAAAGTAGCCTGAGTAGCAGTTCCAGTTCTTCATCCAAATTTCTAACCTCATCAGCTGTAGATTCTAAGTGTATAGCAGTGTGGTGCAAAAATAAAACCTCTGCTTGTGTAGGCTATTGACAATAATGCCACAGTTCACTAGATGGTTAGTTTTTCTTAAACTTGCCTAACAGGCAATACTACAAAACAAACCTGAATAAGAAATAACACTCTGCATGCTTTCAGAGTTTTATGTGTGACAGAAACAGTAATGCACTGTATGAATAGTGATATTTTTAGTTGTTTCTTCTAAAAGTAAGCCATTTGATTGGCTGTTTTTCATAGACTGCATGAAGCTGAAAATCACTTGGTCCATGCTGAATTTTAAATAGTTGTGTGTTTCTGTATTATGAAACATTCCAATGTTAGCAAGCAACATCTATAGTTGCAGCTTTTAGCATTATCATCTTGCTCAGTTATGTTGTCTTTAATTTATTCTTTTTCCTGAGACTTGTGGTGCATGATTGAAATAAATAATGTGGTATGGAATGCCATTGTTCACTCTTGTTTTGCCTTCCTTGTAATAATTACGGTTTGGTTTCCTACAAAAACAGCACTTCCAGTAATGAATGAAAATGAGCATCAGTTATAATGGAAAAGCGGGTTTTTAGTCAATTGCAAGAGAGAATTTGGCAGTGTTGCTTATCTTTTTGTCATTCTACCTCAGGCTCATAGTTTGCTTTCTGTTGGAAATTCTCAATTTAGACTTGTGATTTGTATTTTACTGTCAGACACTCTGTCAGTCATGTCTCTTGAAATGGGGTATAGCTGGGAGTATTGGATCTCCAAACATGTTTTATGAATTCTAGCTTATCTGGTTCCTGTGGTCCGTGGTGAAGTCTGGACCACAGAAAGCAAACATGATCTTGAAAGATTATCCACCCCAACACACACATGGAAAAAAGCATCTTTTAAGATAATGCCTATAAAAAGAAAGTATAGTTTTTGCTTCTGAATCACAATATTACAATTTGCAAATATAGACAAATTTCACCAATAGGCTAGTCAACTTTGATTTGGATAATTAAGTGAATAACATTTTAAAAATTAGGCTGCAGCCATCATTATAAATCTAAAATAGATTATCCAGGAAATAAACCTAGAATAAATCTGTTTTGTAAAATTATGAAGACAGTTGGTGGACCCACATGACATGCTAAACCAGACTGCTACAGCCTGGCTTAGAAGCTACCTAGGTGCATCATGAGTAGGATGCACTGTGCTTCTCCTGCCTCCTCCCCTCCCCCATCTCATGGAACACTGTGAAAGCACCAAGGCTCCCCTCTATCCACTGCAGCTTGTCAGTGGGGGTGGATGGTCAGAGACTAGGAACCACTGACAGTCCTTACCACAGCTCACATCCTTGTAAGATGCCACTGCTGGTCCTAGCAGAGGTAACATATTCTCATTGAACTGCAGCCATCAGGTGTCTCAGCAGTGGCACTGGATGGAGGAGCTGAGTTGACCTCCTTAGCTTACTCTGGAGTAGGTCAAACAGAACACACTGTTCCCATCCAGTGTTGCCGCTGGTGAGCACTTGCAGCTCTGGATGGGAGTGAGGGCAAGCCATACTTTGGTGGCAGCAATGCCTGACAGGGGCAGCCACAATTTGCTGGACTGATTTGCTAGTCAGTTGAGCTGGTTGTATCCCAAGTCATGGTGAGATGATGGGAAAACTTCTGAAAGCTACACTGAATTGCTGTTTCGACACTTTGGGAACAGATTTTAGAGGTGCTTGCCCAGTACCTGCTGACTAGAGGTTGGACTTAAGCTTGTTGAGTCATACAGGTTTAGATAACATAGCAATCCCAGGGCTGATTGCTAAACAGTACAACAATCCTTGGCCTGTCAGGGTGGATTGTAAGCCCACCAGCAGTGCTTAACAGGGGCAGTCATGATCAGCTTGGTTGACTTGTGAGTCAGGCAAGCTGATCACGGCTTTTTCTGCCCTATACTGCTGCCACCCTGGGCAACAGCGAGGTGGGGGGAAACTGACAGCCGCCTGAAGTACCTCTTGGCTAGAGGGGCAAAGGGTTATTGCTGTTCTTGCCAAGCAGCTCTATAGTTGTTTGGGCTACCCCTGGACTTGTGATGTTGTCTATGTTGTAGGCTGTGTTCTTCCAAATAAGCATGGTATTCCCAAATTTCTTTTCACAAGACTTTAGTATTGTACATCTCTGAGTTCACCCAGAGTAAAGTGTTGAGTTCTAATGCCTCTCAGTCCATTACTTCTTTTTAGCCCCTCTGCCTGTACATCCCAGCAGGCAGGGTGCTGTGAAACCAAACCCTCCTGCGTTTTTTCTGTTTCTCTGTTACCTGAATTTCCTGCCTATGTTGTCACCTAGCGACTGGCATCACCTCTTCAGGGGGAGGGACCTCCCTGTCAGACAAACTTAATTCTGGCTGTGAGACCAACCTAGTCCCCAACTCTACAGCCTGTTTTGGAATTGGTAGACTGGAACACTCATCAGCCTCGATTATCAACTCCCATGAGATTCCACAATTTTGTCTTTACTGTCTGAACTTGAATTCCCTTCAAAGCTATAGCCTGCTTGTGCATGCTCTGGCATCTTGCCACTGTGGTCACACATGACAGTCTGGGTTTTGATGACATGGCAAGCCCAGGGGTGACTACTAAACCCGAAGCCATGACTTGTTGGGGTAGCCTATAAGCCTCCCTGAATAAACCATCATGTAATCATACATAACAAGCCACCCTCTGCTTATTGGTCAGGGGCATACCATATGATGTGAACTCAGTCCATGGTTTTAAAGAAACTGTCTCTCTATTGATTACTCTGAGGCTGGAGTTGAGCAGATGTAGACTGAAGAGAGGCTTCTGATTTTCTTCCCTGTTACGGTATAGATTTGAGAAGGTAAAACTCCCTGGGGTTGAGCATCATGCTAGGGAAAGTTGTGGACAGAAGGAGAAAAGGAAGACCAAACGTCAAATACATTGACTCCATAAAGGAAGCTACAGCTTGGAATTTACAAGAGCTGAACAGGGCTGTTATAGATTGACATTTTGGAAAGTTTTCATTTGTAGAGTCAACATAAATCAGAGACAACTTGGTAGCATAATAAACTATACCAACAGTGTAGTTTGAATCTCTTAGTGAGCTGAACTTTAGACTTGAGTTTTTTAAGCTTGTTTACATTATGGCTGAAATTTGTTTTTTAAAGCTGCATTGTCCTATATTCTTTCTCTAAGGAAGCTGACTATAAAAACATCTTTCTATTCACCAAATCTGACTGTAGGTTTCTGACTCTTTGAGGTCTGTATCAGAAAAATTGTAACCCTAGGGCAATTTAAATGTGGTAGATTAGTACATATTCAAGTTTTGATTGCTCAGCCTGCTTGCCTGCCTGAAAAGTAAACTATACTTTTCCTCTCCCCAAATTATGCCACTTCTGAAAATCTAGCTGTATTATTTTCACATGTAGCTAAATTTGGGGGAGTGATATATGTTACTATGTAGCTCAGTTTGAACAAAAAAGTAACCACAATGTGCTAAACAAGTCAGGATCCAGCTCACCAATGTTCAAACTTTGCTTTCTGTTGCTTTAATATATGTTTGTTATCCACTTTTCTCTGGGTACTCTGCTATGCAAAAGCCTTTTGCAGTATTCAGGGTTTCACAAGACATCAGCACTTACTTTACTCTTGTTCTGCTTCAGAAACAGGAGAGGGAAAATTAATGTTCTTCTCAGAGGTCTTCAGTGTACATACTTCTGAGCAGAATACAGTTCCACAGCTGTTCTCCTTTCCCTCACTATTCAGACAAAAGGCTTTCAGGCTTTTAGTTAGCTTTTTCCTTCCACCTGTTACTTGAGAAACTTGCTTAGAGCTTCAGAAGAGCACCCACCCTCCCCACATGGTATTGCAGATGATTTGTCCTACCCCTCCTCCCATCCCAGATCACTTAAACAGAACTGGTCAGCACTCAACATCCTTAAAATCAACCCAGACTCTCACCCTAGTGAGAACTTGTCTGATGCCATCTATAGCCACATCTTCTTTAGACATAGGTTAAAAAAATACTAAAGCCTTATTGATGAGCAAGTGGAAGAATAGGTGTCAGTTACATCTGTTAGATTATAGGTATGGCTTGCTCAGTGTAACTATATGATTTTTAGAACGACATAATATCCAAACATTTTGAAGCCATAGTACAACATGGATTTTTAAAGGAAAAATGTAAATGTATTTTAATTTAGGGTTTAGATAACATACTGAAGTTCAGTTCACTTGAAAGGGGTGTGGAATCTACCAGTCTGCTTGCAGCCACTTTGAAGGAAGAGTGGGTATGATGGAGGGAACAGTGGTAGCCCAAGGCTAGCTGTAGCTTATTTTCATGCTTTAATACTGTGTAGAAATGCAGCACTATAAGCTGCAATTCCATTTTCAGATGTTTTCTAATTCTCTTTTAAAAAGTACATTTTTCTCTAGCTTATTGAACTTTAAATGTTGGGCTGGAAGCCTTACCCTAAAGTAAGTGTAGACACTGAGATTACTTCTCCTCTAGTTGAGAAGGCTGCAAAGCTGGGCTGGAGTAGGAAGGTTTGACAAAAGAGAAATAGGCAGGGAAAGAAGACAGAAAGGGAGTGTGAAATCTGTAAAACACTAGTGAGAACCTCTTGGCTATGTGAATGCTTTCATTTTCACACTTTTCTTTCACATATCTATAGTTAGGTATACAGCAAGGACAGAATAATGCAACAGTGTTAAGATATTGAACTTCACATATAACATGAAATTTCTCTAACTACAAGACAAGATTCACAAACTGTCTTAAGCCCATGGTTTAAGATTCCTGTCTGATGCTGATAAAGGATTAGTGAACCAGGTTGGGTTAAGCTATACAAAACATTGGTTTGAAGTAA